CATTCTCGTTTTGCAGCTTACTAAAGTTAGAAAGGTAAGAAAGTAAACTGTTCAAAGATAAATACCTTTATTGTATTCGACCTCATAATAATATGCAAGATTTATGAGCAGTGAATCATCATTTAAGTCTGGCAGGTAAGTAAAATCCAATTTCCCATCATTTGTATTGCTTAGCTGTGTCAGAGCAAAATGCATACACAACTGTTGCTGTTAAAATAAAGCAAACAATTAATTCCTAGGAAGCACCTTTTCATGTGGAGAGATCACAGCATCTCTAAAGCAAGGTTAACTACCTAGGTTCTACTGACATGGAACAACAATACACTGTTAACTTGACTTCTCTGCAATCAGGAAACTGGCTTCACTCTTCTCCTGCACTGCAATAATCAACTTCAAACAAGTAAAAGGCCTGTCATCACACTTCTCATACTGGATGAGACCAAAAGGTCCATCTAGCCCAGTACCCAAACACTAACGCTGTCTTAACTGGAGAGGTCAAGTATAAGGTATTGCCCCAAACTTTCTCCTCACCCCATTGATCTGTAGCTCACAAGATTCCTGAACCAGGTAAGGATTGTTTCCAGCAGGTACATTATGCTCTTTGATCTCCTCAAATGACTAAATTAGCATATAAAGGAAAATGAAAACTGAATTGACAACTGCACCTGACAACAGGGGAAGTAAGACAAGTGCCACACATACCATTTTTATAAAGGATAAAACTTGCTTAGTCCAGCATGATTTCACGATCCTAATCTGAGCTCTCTGAGAAAGAGGCATATGAAGAAGAAAAGTCACTGCAAGACATTGCATTCTACAGAGGTCAGCTGCTTCTTGTAGAGATAAGGGTTTACTTCTTCCCTGTTGAGAGATGACACATAAAAAGTTGATCACATCCTTCAGTAAGATAATTGCATTCACCTCTAAAGCAGCTTAAAGCAGCTAATAATTTTAACATCTTTAAACAAGTTGTGCATTGTAATTACTAGTGGATATACTCAAGTCAAACTGAACATCCAGTTAACTACATAAAAAACCCCCACCTTTTCTGAAAAGCATATGACTATGAAAATCAAGACAAAAACAACTGTCAGTGTGTCTGACTAGAAATGTTATTTTAAGAGGAAAGGCTACTCTCTAGATACAGGTCTGTATTCCTTTCTCAACGGCACAGCAAAAAGTCTGTATAAACATCCAGCTTGTAACCACTGTGTGGCACCCACTTGTAGCTATCCTTGTAGTCCACCGAATACGTGTCTATCAAAATATTACTGACATATTGCAACTGTGTTAACTTGATGAAAACGTAAGGCTTGTAGTATGGCCTCAAAAATGATGTCATGACATCTAGAAAGGTGTTTTACTGAAACATCTTGCTACTTTGAGGAAAAGTGTATTTTTCTGTAAGAGACAGTATGCCCCTGAGTGTTAGGAAAAGAAAAACAATGAGCTCAACTATCTTCTAAGGTAAAATTCCCTGTGGAAATAACTGCTCCTCAGGTGAAGCTTTCCCCAGGAGCAGTCACTGTGTCAAGGGGCACAGTGCCACCCACAGAGTGACCATGCTCCTTTGGAAAAGCTGTGGACACAGTAATTACCTAAACCAGACCACTTACAGAGTGCAGTCACAAAGGAAGCATCTAGGCCCCTCTTCAGCTTGAGATCTAGGACAGCCACCTCTTCTGCTAGCAAAATGTATCCAGTCACTATGCTGAAAAGATATCTAAAAAAATTCTTACTCTTGCTGATTCCTGTTTCTTTGTTCCCATGGAATTATTCGCATTTTCCAACATGTTGCTGTATATTTTTAATCCCACAGCACAAGCAAGAACACAGATCACACGCTGAACGTCAGATCCTTTAGGCCACAGTTGTTTCAACAGACAGACAGTCTGGTGAACCTGTTGTCATAACATTATGAATAGCACACGACTGCTACAGTAAAAATTACAAAAAGGACAAGTCTTATTCTTTACTAAGTTCCATCAGAGAAGGTTAAAAAAGGATATGAAAACTACAGAAGGAAAAATGAGCACAAACATTAGTAAAAATAGCCCTTTTTTGTCATGTCCCCAAGGGCATCAACAGCCCTGACAGGCTGCCTGACCCCTGGGGCCTCCTCCCACCTATGCAGGGCCCTACTTCAGCCCTTCAAGGCCCTCATTCTCTGGTCTGAAAAAATCAGCTTGCTGGACCAGATGGTGACTTCTGCCAAATGGGCTGGTTCCCATTTTCTATAAGCCAGTCGCCCTTAAGCAACACTCCATTGATTGGTTTCCAGCTGGACCGTCCTACTTGAATGAACTTTAAGGAAAGAAACAGCTTCAAGCTGCTGTGAAGAAGACTGGGCACAACGGAGACTTTCTCAGACTCAGGGTGTCACTTCAGTATAAGGAAGAGAGTCCCCAGTTCTGGCTAGGAGAGAATTTCAGGTAAAGGAAGGGAGGAAGACAGCCAACCCAAGGAGCAAAAACAAAAAGGATCAAAGAGGTCAAATTACCTCTTGTTGTATGCTTTTCAGGCTCAGCTTGAAATGTTCATATAGACACATGACTGGATCTTTGTACTTGACTAGGTTGCCATAGGCCCATTGCAGATCTTGTTCATACTGAGAAATACAGAAGTCAAAGTTATATGCAAAAGTAAATAGATATAACGCATCAGGCACTACCAGCTACAGACAGAAACCATTCAGATATATGTTAATCTTCAGCCTCCATGAAGTATCTATTCTAAATAAAATTTTATAAAATCACATCTCTGGCCTAGATGCTAGTCTTTGTCTGGCATATTACAAGTCAACTAAGACATGTAATACTGAAGATCGGGGAAAGGCTGTATTTGAGACTGTTGTATCTTAAGTGAACAGGATTGTGAAATGAGACGATAGAGAACACGGCAAGAATTTGCCATTGATTGCAATGTTTGCCTGTTGAGGATTTTAAGACCAGCAAAGAAACATAAAAGGAGCCACATATCAGTGCTTCATAATTTTAGTATGTAAAATACTTACATTGAGATACCTTCATTAAATCCGCTAAGGAGAACTAACACTGTTATTGCAAACTGACAAAGAAGTTGTGTAACTTACCTTTACAAAAAATAATCTGTGCTTATACACACTCTGAACATGATATCCATAAACTCTAAGAATATCATACTCCTGTCCTGAAGCGAGCACAACGTTGATTTTCTTTGACAGTGAATGAGCAATTAAAATAGACAAATAGTCTGTCTGGAGAGAGCTCAGTCCTATGTCAGATACAATGATGAAGTAAGGATAGCTTTTCTTCAGGAAAATCTCCCATTGGGATGATAAACAATTGGAAAATTCTGTATGAACAGTGATGCTTGTGTTACGCCTCAGGTGTTCTATTAATGCAGTACGTAAGAAAAGAAAATGAGGATATGGAAAGTACATCTGTTCTGCATCCTGTGGGAAATAAAAACAATGAAATTATTTGGTTACGTTTCCTAATCCTGATTAGAATCAAGCAGATGGTTTTGAAGGAGTGCAATGGTTTAAACAGCAGACAAATGTTACTTGCTCAGTACCTTGAAGAAAGCAATGACATATTTTGCTCCTTTGTCAGTGAAATCCTGCAGGAAGCATTCAATTTGATAGAAGAAGTTCAGATACTGCGTTTTCTCATCTAAAAACATAAGTAGTAAGGAATCCCCATCTATCACAAAGAATTCAGACTCAACAAAGTCTTTTAACAGACTGACATACCTGGAAGAAAAAGAAATAGCACATACATAACATTAGTCCAAGAAAAGTCAGGGACATGAGATAGAAATTTTCTTACTAACAGATTTTAAAATGAATGTTTTTGTTCATTAAATCAATTAAAGATTAAACGTATTAATCAATAGCAAACCATCTTTCTTGGATCTAAGGTTAGTCCTAAAAAGCTTGCAATCCTTTCAGGTATTGAATGTATTAGCAATTGCCTCCTTTACAACTTGGGATACTTATGTAGTATCTGAAGCTTCTGTGAGTCCTGTGGCACCACTTGTCCATGCCCACTTATGTGGAAAGTCTTGTCTGCTCTAAGAAATATCCCACAGGAGATAACCACAAAATATATTTTGAGAACCTTCCTCCCCAAGTTCCCAGCTAAAAATAGCAAGTGGGTTATCAAGAACTATCACGACAATGACAACTACCTCCCTCATCCAAGGAATGTGTATGGCAAGAAAAATACCTTAGCAGCAAGAAGAATCCAATCACAATACATTCCTTCAAGAGACTAAAGAATTGAAAGAACTCTTCATCCCCTTCCTGTTCCAGAAAACTATGAAAGGTGATAAAATTTACATTAACCAGACTAAGGTCAAACTTGAAACAAATCCTTTGCACTGGAGATGGCAAATATAAACAGACAGCACCTCAGTAGCTTTCAATACATCCTGGGAATTGACTGCATTCTACAGCTCTTCAGAATCCATGAAAGTCCATGGACAGACCAAGGACTCAGAAGAACTTTGCAGGTCCAAATGAAGATGAGGCAAGACCTTCTAGTAAAGGTTATCTGCTCTTGTGTCTGTCTATTACATACTATACTGTCTATTACAATACTAATGCATTTATGAGAACAGTCGTACTATAATGGTAAGACCACGCTTGTCTTCTTCAAGGCTGTCAAAAATGCCTGATACACATCACCTTGGATCCACACCTGGGAAGATCCAGTTTTCCTTTCCACTGGGAAAATCAGCCTCTGGCTTACAGTCCTGGTTTGTTATTCGATGCAATGAGTAGCCTTCTGTGAACTAAAACTATGTAAACTTCTATCTTACACATGTAAATTGTCTGCCTTTAATTCATACTAATCTCTTCAGCAAGTCAGCTCCACAATGCAGAGGCAACATTTCACTGTCATTGTGAATGGCACTACTGCTAATACTTCTCCATATCAAGGAGGAAAAAGAATCAGAATCTGGAGATGCAGAAGATCATGCATGAGAACTGAGATACGAAACCACAGAAAGTATATATGAAAAGGAAGATTTTGTTGAAAAACTGTTTTAAACACTGTAAAAGTAGTAGCCTTAAACCATGTGAGGAAAGATGCCCAAAAAAAAAAAAGCATGACAGATGATTTGAAAAAGAATAAGTAGCAACAGATAAAATCATAGATCAGTTCCTAAAATGTGCAAACAATCCCTATTCTTTGGGCAGTCTGTTATATTAGGAATCTTCCTCCGTGTGGAGGAAGTATGGAGTCCTAAGCATGCCTCCGATGTCCTGATTTTCCACAAACCTAGAGGGTAAGCACACAGCTTCTTTCTCTGAGGGGTACTACACTGTCGCATCTACTTAATTCAAAGAAACCATTTTATCACCATTTATTAAATTTCATTTCATGAATCCCACTGTACTTACTGAGCTCTTGATAGGGATGCCCACATGTGTAGCCTCAGATATTCAAGACATTTTCTTATTCCTAAAATAACCACATACATGGTTATAGATAGAACCATATAACCATAACTCATCTATTAATCACAAAAGAGCCAAAAGTTAAGACACTGCAATAAAAGCCAAGGACACGAGCATAAGCTAGTAACAGCTCCTCACCAGGACTTTGGGAATCACATTCATGATGGAGAATTCTGAACTCCTCGCCTTTAGTTTGTGATGCCTGCTTTGTCACCTTTTCAGTTGTCACGATACTGTAAGCTTTACTGTAGTCTAGGTCTTCAGCTTCTTTTTCTCTATCTTCCTCTTCTTTAAGCATTCGCTCAAGAGCTGCATCTGTTCTGTCACCAGACTCATCCTCTTCAGCACTGTCACTTGTACTCCCACCTTCTTCATATTCCTTTGTTGGAATGAAGCCAGTTTTCTCACTGTCACTATATTCACTATCCATATCGTCATATCGAGCATTCTCATCTGCAGCATTATGAACAACTTTCCTGAAATCCATCACAGATCTTGGCATCCAAAAGAAGAAAACTCTTGATTAATTAGAGATAACTTTCAGGGAATATGGTATGCTTTGAGGCTTCAACCATTAAATTATCTACTTCTTAATCACGCTGGAATAAAACTTTAAAGAAAGCATTTCATGACCATCCCTGTGAGACATTCACTTTAAAATTCAATACATATTTTTATGACTTATAAAAAAACCATCAGCTTTTGTCTTTCTTAAAATTTACTGAAAAGGAGCATTACGTATCTGTTTTGGGCTTTGCCTGAAAGGACCCTTGGGGGGGTTGGTTATAATTTTCTGTATTAGCTATATCTACATGGCACACTCCAAGCAGTGATGCATGTTTCCTAGTTCAAATGACCTGAACCCACAACCCACAAGTACCCACACCATTCATACTAGTCTAGTCACTATTAGGCATGCCACAACATCTTCATTGTGTGATGGGGGTAATCATTGTTTGGTATCAATCCCACTTTTTAATTCATTGTAGATTATCTCCCTCTACCCCCCATCAAGGGTAGGATTCTCTCAAATCTTGAGTGAGCAACTCACCTGTAATGGTTAGCATAATACCCCACTTTACAAGGTCACAACGTTCAGTTCCTCTGAGCAAAAGAACAAGCAGCTTGGGATAACCCTACACAGCCCCTACCACATCAGATTCAGTTTCCCCTAGTTTCTGCTCAGGTAATGGCCTCATGCAGTATTGTAAGCATGAGTACAACATTGTTGTAGCATTTGCCATTGCAATATTCATATGCCATAGATACGTTTATCCTTTTCCCTGACACCATAAAAGGACTATTTAGATGTCTTTTTTAGTCCTATAACCTTTCTTTAAAAACTAACAAAAGAAACTAAAGTGCAACTTCTGTTGTTCAGATTTCACAAATTCAAAACTAAGTTGCAATTTCTTTTTGATTTTCACCTTGTGTTAAACCCCTACCAAATGAAGTTACTGAAAAAGAAAGAAAAACATCATTTCCATTATCTACTTGTAAAATACTGTACAGTGTACATATTACAGTGGTGTGCTTAACATCACTTCACAGTTAAACTTCAGTACCTATTTTCACACAATGTAACTATTTATATACATACAGTTGTATAAAACCACCTCTTGTGTACCTGCACATGTACTTTTTGTCAAGGCAGCAACAAACCTGAGCCTTTTCTCCACTTTCTTATCTAAATTGAAAAAGCTACATCAAAGGCTCGAGATCACCATTCTGGGATGAATTGTCTATTTCCACATGCTGAAATTGTCACTTACCTATGAAATGGCCACCACTACTTCAGCAATCTCCTAAGCAAGTGTGACTTTCCATATCTGAAAACATAAAGTCAGACATTCTCAAAACAAAAAAGAAAGGCTTAAATACTTTGCTACATCCATGCTTTTCTGCACTAACATCTCGGGTATCTGAAGCTATAACGGGGGCAGAGGCAACCAGGTGGCTTTGACATCCTGCCAGCACCCCTGTTGCCCCTCCACCCCAAAGGGTGCTCCCCTGCTGCCCTCAAATTCCCCTTGCATGCTGTCCAGCCACCTCTGTAGCCCTAAACCAACTGCAGCTCCAATGCAAGCCCCAGCTCCAGCACCAAGCCTAAACCCAAGCACATCACCCTCTCCAAAACAAACCCCAGCTCCAGCCCTAATCCGAATCCCAGTCTCAGCCCCAAACCCCAGCCTAAAGGCAACCCTAACCACAGTCTCTAATGGAGCCTGACCGGGACAGT